CCATAACCTATCGATCCAGCAACGAATCCTCCAGTTCTTTCGTTTGGGAACGTCGCTTTTGACCATCGCTTTTGGTATCGCCTACTTGATAGCATCCTCCGATATCGAGTCCGCGTACTTGGCACGTATCAACTGTGCCCATTTGGATGTGGCTTTGGGTTTGTACAAGTCGTTAAGGAGCTCCATTTCATCCACCGGAACCTTGAATCAGGACTTGTTGCCTGTTGACAATGAACTCACGGATTCAGAAATCCACATCCTCACACAATACACAGAGAAGCAGGTGGCGGACGCTGCCCAGTACATTTTGCTTGGTGCTAATGAATTTTGCATGATCTCCTTCGACTATGTCACCCACGTCAAGGGTAACATCACGGAGGACTGCCAGTCGTACAACGGTATCGGTATCTTTGACTACAGAGCTATCATGCTGGAGGCGGGGCTTGATATCATTTTGGCTTACGCGTACGAATCAAGTTACAAGAAGGACGATGAGTACTCCCGTCGATTAGAAGCACGTAACAAACGCTTCGGAGTCCTCAAACCAGTCATGATATTCCAGATTTTGGCCCAGGCGGCCATCATCGTTTACGGCCTTGTCCTATACAGCAACAGAGGTGGCGCCAAGGACCTATCGTCCATTCCAAACATTACGATGAACGGGTTGGCGCTACTAGCTGTGGCGGCTGGCATAATCATGATCGTGGCTTCCTCTATTGCCATAAACGAACTACGATCTATGAAGAAGGAAATCGCAAAGGGAATGTCCAGCTACGGTGTGAAGATGATCTTGGGCGATGTTTTCCAGGCTCTCTTGTGGTGCACGTTTGCCTTTTCCGTGTTCACGATGCTTCTTTGGGCCTTACCTTTATGGTGCTCCAATCCCGCGGATGATGGCTACAATTCGGACGACGAGATCACATACCACTATAGAGACGATCCAGACGATAACGACCGCACCTACGTCGTCAAGCCATACCAGGTCTCGAGACAGCTCAAGCGTAACAAGACGAAGAAGTCTATTTCTCGACTCTTCGACGATGCAGCTAACTTTGAAAATGACAATGACCATCCTCCTAGATCCACTTCTGTGGAAAGCACCAGCTACCACGACAACGGCCCATTTGCATCGCCAGAGGACTACGAGGTTCGCGAACAGACATTTGAACCCGAGAGGGCCGAGCTGAGCAGCCATGTCCACACTGAAACTGAGCTTCGAAAGTTAGGTGCTACAATCACCCGTAAGTTCTCTGGCAGACGCAAAGACAGCTCGAAGTCTAAAAGAACGCCTCACCGGAACTGGCTTCCGGAGAAGTCAACCACGCATGATCTTCTTTACGGAGAGAACCACTTTTCGAACCACCAGTATCCACAAACGCTACCTGGTGTTGCTGAAGGTGGGTCATTGTCTCGGGCATCGACTCTCAACAAATTGAACACACCTAACCGCTCTAGAAGTAACACGGGTGGAGGTCTCCAATCGCAGCCTCACCAGAACATGTTGATTCCAGATGCTAACAACAGCTATGAACGATCAGTCGACAACATCTCCGTTCTAGATGAGCAGGAGATGCAGTTGCTCGACAACAATCAATTTATAAACAAAATCGTTTAGACAGTCTTGACACTCATTCGAGCTAGGGACTTATTCGCATACCTCGCATATATATCCTGACACAAATCGATATTTCACTAATACACTAGTTTCTTTGCAAATGAAGGAGGAAGATGTTCTTGAAGAGCTTGCAATAGTGGATCGGCCCGCTAGGGGCAATGGCTATTTTATGCCTCAAAACACAACTATCTCTCATCAAGTGGTCTTCTGGATATGGCTCATTGCTGGATCCGTTTTGTTTCTTGGAAGTCTATTTCCATTGCCTTATACTACAGCTATAAATAAGCTAGAGGTTGATGAAGGATCTGCTTCTTGGACGATGATTGCCAACGATGGTCTTCAGCTTTTTGCGTACTTCTCAGAGGATCTTGGTGGTAGTACCAAATCCACCATTCCTCACGATTGGCCTGTCGAAAAATGCATCTACACCTTCAGTCCAATGGGAATGTGTCGATTCAAGGATTTCGATTCACAATTCGATTGTTATAGAGGTCGAGGTATGGATATTCCCAGTATGCTTGTGCTCGATTTGGGAACCCAGGTTGGATTAATTGGAGGAGTTGAAGATCCACAAGAGTTCGGCAAAAACACAAAGGAGCTATACCAGGCGGCTATAAAAGAAATAAATCGGGTCATCAAACAAATCCAACAATCTGAAGATTCGGCAAACTTGGACTCCAACAAAGTCCTGGTGATGCTCCAATTGGAAAAGGTTAGTGAGCTTGCCCTTGCAATCCAGGCATTGTGGATCTTGGCTGGCTGCAATTTTCTTGCCGTTGTAATATTGGACTTGCTTTCTTTTATTTTCAACGGAAACGCAAGAAGGGTCTTTGAAATAATGAGCCTCATACTCCAGGGTTGTCTCTTTGTCCTTTTGCTTATACTTCTCTTTGGACATGGAGTGGGCTCGCCATTCATCGAAGCCTACTTACGTGACTACGGTTTACATTGGAGTCTTGGAATTACGACTGTTCTTCTTGCGTTCCATACGCTCTTCACAGGGATTTATTGTATCCTCACATGGTCATACATAGTCTAACCGTACACCTTCTTGAACGACTGTTCAAAGTCGGCAATTATATCGTCAATGAATTCAGTACCAATCGAGACTCTGATCAATTCCTTGGTAACACCAGAGCTGGCCTTCTCCTCCTCGCTCAATTGCTGGTGAGTGGTGTAGTATGGAGCAATCACCAAAGTCTTGGAGTCACCGACATTGGCCAAGTTAGAAGCGACCTCCAAGTTGTCCACCACCTGGGCGGCTGCCTCCTGGAATGGGTCATCGACCTTCTTGTCCAAGTCCTTGACACCCAAGGCCAAAACACCACCGTAGTGCTCGGTGTTGAAGTACTTCTTGGCCAATTCGTGGCTCTCGTGGGAAGGCAAGCCGACGTAGGAGACCCACTTGACGTGAGGAGACTTCTCCAACCATTGCGAAAGCTTCAAGGCGTTCTGGGACTGTCTCTCAATACGCAAGGACAAGGTCTCCAAACCCTGGAGCAAAAGGAAGGAGCCAAATGGGTTCAAAGCTGGACCCAAGTCTCTCAACAACTCAATTCTGGCGTGGCCAATGAAGGCAGCCTCGCCCAAGGCGTCGTTCAACACCAAACCGTGGTAGCCCTCGGAGGGTTTGGAGAATTGAGGGAACTTCTCAGGGTACTCCTTCCATGGGAACTTACCAGAGTCGACAATGACACCGCCAATGGTGGTGCCGTGGCCGCCAATCCACTTGGTAGCGGAGTGCACCACAATGTCAGCACCCAACTTGATGGGACTCACCAAATAGCCGCCAGCGCCAAAGGTGTTGTCCACCACGACCGGCACGCCGTTGTCGTGGGCGATCTTGACGATCTTTTCAAAGTCAGGAACATTGTACTTGGGGTTACCAATAGACTCAACGTAGATAGCCTTGGTCTTGTCGTCAATCAACTTGGCAAAGTCCTCGGGAGAGTCGCCATTGACGAACCGCGTCTCAATGCCCAAACGCTTGAAAGCAACCTTGAACTGGTTGTAGGTACCACCGTACAAGTACGAGGTGGAGACGATATTGTCACCAGCATGGGCCAAACCGCCAATGGTGATGAACTGGGCAGCCTGGCCCGAGGCCACCGCCAAAGCGGCAATACCACCCTCCAACGCAGCAATTCTCTTTTCGAAAACATCGTTGGTAGGGTTCATGATACGAGAGTAGATGTAGCCTGGGGTCTCGAGACCGAACAACTGGGCTCCATGCTTCGAGTCGTCAAACACGTAGGAGGTTGTGGCGTAGATGGGAGGGGCTCTGGCGCCGTGAGGTTTCTCGACCTCCTGGCCAGCGTGCAACTGAAGCGTGTCAAAATGAGAAGGCATGGTTTTGGTGAATATTATCGGGGGAAACGGCTGGTTATATAGTGGGCCGGGCCCAAATATGCAAATGCACGTGAGGCGGTATTGTCTGGGGCCGATACCTGGGTGCATTGTCCCGCCACACTGTGGCGCTCAAGGTGGCTCCAGCGTGAGGAAAATAATTTGCGTTTTGGAGACACGGTAATTTTGATCAGATCTGGAAGTTTTGAGGTGGTTACTTTATTTTGTTGGGTTACGGTGTGTGGTATATTGCATGTACGGAGTAAGGGCGATCGGGCTCGGCGACCTTTCGGCGAGAGCCAATGGGGGCTTCGAAACGGGACATTGTTTGGACACGGTAGGTGAAAAAGAGCATTTTTCGTAAAACGAATCAGATCGATCTCTCGTCAAAGCACAGCTTCAGTGGGGCTTTGTGGCTGGTCCAGATGGGATATTTGCACCCAATGCATTAGCCATGAGCCGCAGGGACGTGCAGCATGGTAGTACTGACACTGTTGACAATTACATTAAGGAATAGTTAAAAGACAGATTGGATATTCAGTTGGTTTTTACCAGGTTGTGGCTTTGGAGACAATGGCGGAATTTCGCTGCTGGGAATGTCGAGTGTGGTACGTGCCCTGTCTGTGGCTCCAGGTAGCTCAAGGGTTCCACGGAGTCGACTCCGAAAACCAGGTCGAATTGGTTCAATCTTTGTGTACGTTTTCAATTGACTCCAAATATCAACGTGTACTTGTTCTGGCGCCATGGCTGTAGGTTTTCGAATTTTTCGGGCTCATCGGTATCTTTGAATATCGCTCGATTCGGTAATTGCAACTGAAAAACCACAAAATGCGTGGGATCCAGAGTTAAACGCTAACACTAACCATAAAAAATGGAAACACCACAAGAGGATGCCAATTTACAAGAGTAACAACTTCAATTCAAAAAATATTTCCACCATCCTGGCTTCTGCAACTCCATGTCCTCGAAACCCATTGTAGCTACCACGGCTGATCTCTACAGGATCTTCACTACGCGTTGATCTGAAAGAAACTACCCAATGTCCAGCCAACAATGCAACGGCACCGCTAAGCTGGGCCCACGATGCAAGATTATGGTGAAGGACGGTGCTTACTGCCACTACCATATAGGTCAATCAGGCTCCAATGGAACCTATACGCCGAAAGGTTCCCCACAAAAGCTGAGGGCATCGACGCCAAATAGAATCGTGGTTACACTGGCAAAAGCAACGCCATATGGAGGACTGCCTGTGAAGTCAAGGTCTCCTCAGAAAAGAGGGCCCGGGAAAGATGTGATCCACAAGCCTGGCTTCATCTACATCTTCACACTTGCATCGCTCATGACCAGAGACGGTGGGGACTTTTTCAAAACGAGAAACCTCGAGCTGGAGAAGAAAGGACAATGGGTGAATTTTTCTCCAAAGCGCCTGGAATACATGTTTGTCAAAGTCGGCATGACCACGAAAACGGTCGACTTGAGACTTCTGCAATGGGAGAAACAGTGCAACCATAAGCTAGTGTGTCTACACCCAGGTAGCGAAGGAAAGGATCTCACTTTGGTGGAGAAGCTCAAGAGGCTCAGTATCAGAAAGGACAAATATCCGTATCACACCTTCCAGCCGTCCGACAAAGGCTTTTACGCTGGTAGAAGCGTTTGGCAAGCTGAACAGGAAATTCATGGCTTTCTTAAACAACGATACGGCGGAGGCACGGTTTACTGCCAGGGATGCATTGACAAAGCAAAAGAGGAGGAAAAGGGAAGTCGTCTTCTGAAGTTCTTCAAACGCAAGGAAGAGACCCTGAGCGAATATAAGGTGCATGTCGAGTGGTTTCCAATACCCAAATCAGAGCTACGAGAGGTGTTTCGAATCGTCGACACCGTGTGCATGCGCTACAAAGCGTGAAAACCATTTCATTTTATTCTTTAGCTATAGATAATACAGACTTTTTGGGGGCTTGTCGTGCCAGCTTAGGTGTTCATGTAAGTGGAAGGGTCAACGCCTTCCTCGGGGAAGTCAGAAATCTTCACGTCGAATCTGGACTGGATCTTCTCCAAGACCTCCTCGTCCTCCTTGCTGGAGACGAAAGAAACAGCCAAACCCTTGGTACCGAATCTGCCGGCTCTACCGACTCTGTGCAAGTACTGGTCAGCCTCGTTTGGCAAGTCGTAGTTGATGGCCAAGTTGATTCTCTCGATATCGATACCTCTACCGAAAACATCAGTGGTGACACAAATACGCTTGTTGAACTCCTTGAAGGACTTGTATCTGGCGATTCTCTCGTCCTGCTTCATAGCAGAGTGGACGGCAATCGAAGGGAAGTTACAAGCACACAACAACTTGTTCAACTCGTTGGCTCTAGAGGTGGACTTGACAAAGATGATGACCTGGTTGAACTCCAAAGAGTCCAACAAGTCAGACAACTTCTTGTTCTTCTCGTTCTCAGCCAACTTGATGTAGTACTGCTGCAAACCGTGCAAAGTCAACTTGGCCTCGTCATCAACGTAGATCTCCAAGGGGCTCTGCATGAACTTCTTACAGACGGGACGGATCTCCTGAGACAAAGTAGCAGAGAACATCATCACCTGCTTCTGGTGAGGAGTGTTTCTGAAGATGTCCTGGACGTCTCTTCTCATGTCCAAGGAGTCCAAGACCTTGTCACACTCGTCAATGACGAAGGACTTGACGTTGTTCAAACGGATACCCTTCTCCTCGACAAGAGCGTGCAATCTACCTGGGGTAGCGACGACAATGTGGGGACAAGTCTCCTTGTTCTTCAACTTCTCCAAGTCTCTGGCGATAGGGGTACCACCGTAGAAGACCTCGGTCTTGACATCAGGCATGTACTTGGCGAAACGAGCGTACTCGTTACGGATCTGGTAGGCCAACTCTCTGGTGTGACAGATGACCAAGGTAGAGATCTCACCTGGAACTGGGTCCAACTGCTGCAAAGTCGACAAGACGAAAACGGCAGTCTTACCCAAACCAGACTTGGCCTGACACAAGACGTCAGTACCCAAGATAGACTGGGGGATACAGACCTGCTGAACTGGATGTTAGTGGGGGGAAATGTGATAAAGACGCGTTGCGCTGCGGGCAAAGCCGATAACCTTGGTTGCTTATTACTCCAAATTGAAAATGAAATCGTGATGCACGCCACATGGCACCAGTCTGGTGGGTAGCGGCCATTTATGTTCAAACGACACTCATAAGTCTAGGTTTGACCGGCTTCGTCCTCAGCTCGCGGATAGAATATACGAACCTTCGGAGGGGTGTTCGAAACCACAGTCACCAATGGCTCTCAACAACTCTGGCTTCAAAAGAAAGTCTCTGAAACCAGTGGCGTGGATACCAACGTAGGAGCCCTTTTTGTCGGCGCTCTTGTTGTTGGAGGCATCGCCCTCGGTGGTAGCCGTGGATGGCTGAACGGCGATCTCCTCGGAGTCAGAGTAGTCCAACAATTCTTCCTGACCTTCGTGAGACATGGTTTCTGATGGTAGTGTTTTTAGGCGCTGGTAAAGCGAGATAGTTTTTTTCGAAGAATAGTGAGATTCGCGGTCGTGCACAAACCACTACTACAAGTAGTTGCAACCAGCCATTGCTCACTATAGATCAGTTGTACATTATAGAAATGCTTTCAAGGGTTTCCAACTTGGCATTTAGAAACGTGGCCAGACCAGCCACCAGATTGGCTTTGAGGCAAAATGCTTTGAGACCGGTTTCTTTGAGATCGTTACCAAAAACCCAGTCTGTCAGATTTGCCTCTTCGTCTAATGAGAACGATTTGCCTGATGATGACGTCCTCAAGGTCCAAGACGTGGTCAGCAAGGTCCAGCAACACCCACATATTAGAGAATTGTTGAACCAGTTCCAGGAGATCATCGTCAAGAAAGGTTTCAACCCACAAGAGCCTCCATCTATGACCCAGGTTATGAGACTCTTTGCTGATAAGGAGGTCAGAGCGCTTATTTCCAAGTTGAAGGACGCCTTTGACGAGGCTGGCATCAAGATCTCGCCCGAGGACATGGGTCTGTTCATGAAGATGTTCAAACAGTAAGGGCACGAGAGATTGCTAGAGATTCAGTATGTACATAATACCCATTTGCATTAACCCATGTAGGGACAGCAGGAGGCTTGGCTCATGTATTTTAGCAGAGCTTACTTTTTGGCAAATGAAGCAGAGATGTTGGCTGCCTCCTCGACAGCTCTGGCAATGGAACCTCTCACACCAGCATCTTCCAACTTCAACAAACCACCAATAGTGGTACCAGCAGGAGTGCAGACCTTGCTCTTCAACACAGCAGGGTGCTCGCCGGTTTCAAGAGCCATCTTGGCAGTGCCCTCCATAACCTTAGCAGCGGCAGTTTTGGCAACATCGTGTGTAAGACCCATTCTGACACCTCCATCGTACAATGCCTCCATCATGAGCAAGCACATGGCAGGACCAGATCCGATAAGAGCTGTAGCGGCATCCATGTTCTTTTCAGGGATTTCCAGCGCAGCTCCCACACATCCAGCGAAATCGTTGACGAACTGCTTGTACTCACTGGCTTTCTCAGAAAGAGCCACAGCAGCCATTCCAGCGCCAAATTGGGCAGGAGTGTTGGTCATCACTCTGGCGATCTTGTCGGAGAAAATGGACAAGTTGTCAATGGTGACACCAGCCAAGAGGGAAATGACCAATGGGTTGTGCTTGAGGTTGTCTTTGACCTGGGCGTGGACCGCCTCGAAGTGGAAAGGCTTACAGCCCAAAAGAATCACATCGGCGGTCTCAATTGCCTTCTTTTTCTTCTCCACATCGACAATAACCTCGACAAAGTCCTGGGTGAACTGGCTCTTGAGACGTTTTTCAGACTTCTCCAGCTGAGAGCACAAGATCACTTTTCCTGGGAAGGGCTTCATTTTCGAATCGGTCACAGCCGCAGTAACAGCGGTGCCCATGACGCCGGCGCCGAGCACCAAAAGGGTGTATCCGTCTTGAATGGCCATGATCTGAGAAGCAAGGTGTAGTTGGAAATTGTAGTGTATGTGGAGCCGCGAACGTGGAGAAGCTGAATGGTGGGTGAACTTACGCTACAGAGAAGATATGAATATGAAAATTATATTATCGTAATCCTTGGATCTCCAGGATTACAACGGTACCAATATCTCTGTAGAGCTATGAATACCAAGGTCAGTCGTATGACCCAGGGTGAGGATTGTCTGCACACCGGAATCGGGCCAGACAGTCCTGGACCGGATTTCGGGACATTACCCTTGCACTTCTTCACTAATTAAGCTTCACCACGGACTACTCAGCTTTTTGATTTCGCCCCGTTTTTCAAATAGCTCACCAAAAGATATAAAAAAGAGTGTCTCATATTCCGAGATCTCCTGCAAGGTGACGCAAAAAAGTAATCTGCCTTCTGAAAAAGGCAAGAGTGTTCTCAACGAAGCTTTTCGGATCGCTTGGGCAAACCACACAACCACGCTGTTCTGAACACTGAAAACTATCTGAAAATACAAGTTAGGGCTATACTTTTATAACCAGCTACTTTTTACCGAATTTTATAAACCGCCACAGGCCCTTTGCAGCCACCAGGATGACCTTCAACAAATCCCTTCTCCAGCCTTGTCCTGTTCTCAGGCCCAACGATGCTGAATTTCAAAGTCCTATTCAATACTTATCCAGCCCTGACGTGCGGGCTTTGGGTGAAAAATATGGCTTGTTGAAAATCGTGCCTCCCTCTGGTTGGAGACCGCCCTTCTCCTTATCGCCAAACTTCACATTCCACACGAGGATTCAAAAGCTCAGTGATTTGGGAATCACGACAAGAAGCAGAAAATTCTTCACCGACAATATGAACAGATTCTACAGAATGATGCGCCGCAGCGAGTTGAAGCAGTGGTTCAGGGCAGGTGAGAAGAAGCTTTACTTCTACGACTTGTACTTGGCCGTGCTCAATCAACAGGGGGAATCGCCGGATTTTGACAATATTTCGAAAGACGATTTGGCAAAGTTGAACCTCTTGTTCGGGCTTAACGCCGAATCCCGAATCTTGGTGGATCAGTGGCAGTACAATGTCAAGCAATACGCCGAATATCTCTCTACGAACAAGGGGAACTTTGATTTTCCAGAAAGTGATCCAGAGGATGAAGGCGCTTGTCTCGTTTGCCGCAAAAACCATTCTCCCACTCTGACCTTATTATGTGATCACTGCAACAACCCTTATCACATGAAGTGTCTTCAGCCGCCACTTGAGGAGATACCGCTGGGATCTTGGTATTGTGATCGATGCTTAGTTGGTAACGGAGCCTATGGCTTTGAGGAAAGACCCGAAATCAAGTATAGCATCTGGGATTTTGTCGAACAGTGCAAGCAATTCGAGGACAAGTTCCTTTCACAGTACCAAACCGAAGGAAAACCGCTTCTGTTGGACGACATTGAACGAATTTTCTGGAGTTTGGTGGAAGCGGAGAACTCCGACATCAAAGTCAAATATGGCGCCGACATCCACAATCTTAAACCCGGAGAAATCAGTGGTTTCCCTACCCCTGAGGTACCCCAATCACCATACGACCCAAATGCCGATTCCTCTCGCTATATCAATGATCCTTGGAACTTGACCAAGCTTCCATTTGCCGAAGGGTCCTTGCTCAACTACATCAACAGCAGTATCTCTGGAATGACTGTTCCATGGATATATGTTGGTTCGCTCCTTTCCACATTCTGCTGGCATGTCGAAGACCATTATACCTTGTCTGCCAACTACTGCCATTTCGGTAATGTGAAGAAATGGTACGGCTTTCCTAGCAGCCATGCTGACGCTTTCGAGCTGATCATGAAGAAATCTGCGCCAGATCTTTTCCAGAGGCAGCCTGACTTGCTACATCAGCTTGTCACTTTGATTTCTCCAAGTGAGCTTGCAGAAAAGGGCATTCCATGTGTTTACGCTGACCAAGGACCCAATGAATTTGTGGTGACGTTCCCCAGAGTCTACCATGCTGGATTCAACAGCGGCTTCAATTTCAATGAAGCAGTCAACTTTACCATGGACTCATGGCTAGAACTAGGCGAAAAGTCCATCCAGGACTACAGATCAATCAAAAAGGAGAATGTTTTTGACCACTGTCAATTGGTGGAGAATATCTTGAGCAAGTTTATCAGAGGAGACAAGGATATCACAATGGACCGCATGAAGCTTGTGGAGCAGTCTATCAGATGTTACGAAAGAATCATGGGAAGAAACATGAGATTGGTGAGCGATCTAGATAAGGAGAGATTTCTGGCAGCCAAGGCGAAGAAGAAGGGAAACAAGAACCTGACCTCCACCCCACTTACCCCAGGTCCAGAAGTCAGCACCAGAAGGGTCGCTGATCTTGACGAAGAAGACGATGTATTATGTGATGTTTGCCGGACATACGCCTCGTACCAATACTGCAACATTAATAACCAGGCCCACCGTTTTGGTAAATGGTATGGAGGCAGAAAGAAGAAGGAGGCACACACGCTAGAGGTGAAAGATCTCCTCACGCCAGAGGCCTCGCCTAATAAACTCCAGGATCTCAATGATGACGAGAAGGCCAATTTCGTTGCATCTACAATTTCCGCAGGCAAACTTGGGGAGCTTCAAGAGAAGGTCCCATACAATGAGGAATTCGACAAACTCATAAAGCAGGCAAAGAGAAAGGCCGACGAGGAAGAGGCATCGGGAGTGAAAAGAAGAAGACACTCCTCAAGAATCCTGCAAAAGAGTCAACTGCCTGAGACAGTCAAGGAAGAAACAGAGGTGGTTGAGCACAAGGATATGAGCCAAATGAAGAAAGTACAATACAACAGTTTATTCAAGCAGCTCAATCGCTTGGACAATGTCAAGTTGTGTCTCGAATGCTGCGTTCTGGTTTGCGGAGAGCGTGGAAAGAAAGCACCCCGGGGATCTCTTGTGGTGTTTGAGAAGTCATTTGAAGAAATGGATCAAGTCTTGACTGCTGCCAAGCAAAGGTATTACGATGTGAAGATGGGAGGTGTGAAGGCTCGAGATGTTGCTGTGCCTGATACGACAGTAAAGACGGAGGTGGTGTAGTATTTAATTTGGAATGAAGGAATGAAGTATACGATCTTGGTGAGTTAAGTTGCGATTGGGTCATGGAGGCCATTGAGATTAAAGAGTGAATTTGCAGTGTCTGTTTGTCTCAATGGAATTGCAATGAAATTGGTCATTTAAGCGACGGGATAGCATAATTCCATTTCAATGCCCATTTTCTACCATGTTCCTTCAGCCGTGAATCCACATATGATCCAGCGCTCGATTGAACCGAGGAAGCCAAGCAGCATCCCAGTCACCTCTCCATATTCAAGAAGTGAAATCCATTCAAAAAACTCAAGCACACTCCGCAGAAGAAAACTTCAATAAACAAAACTTCAATCTCGTCACCCCAAATACTGAACACCCGGGGGCCTCATGCAGCTGTTCCGATCTCGTTTTTCGCAGCCAAACTGGAAAGCCATTCCACGGGAGCCACACAGCCAAGTCACAAGATAACAAAAGCAGATCGATATCTTTTCTCGAATTCACAAGACGTAGCTCAAATCGATCAAATCTTCTTTCCCCCGCTGTAAATCCAACTTTTCACCTCCACCTTGTAGGTGCCTCTCGGTCCAACTCGGGTCCACCAATCCGGCGCTACATGGCCCCCTTGAACCCAGAAAAAAAGGAGGCCCCTCAATTTCACCCGAAAATTACAAATATCGCCCTCCCAGGCCTCAATTGCCCTCGCCCACGCCGCCACCCCCAAAGTATCACCTCCACCAGCCGTCCGGGTAACCCGCACCCGCCCAATGAAAAACAGCTTCGCGGCCGGAAAGCCAGAACCTCCTCTCATTGGTCAGGCCTACCGCACCCATGTCCGCCGACCGGTATGGAGGACCTGTGGTGTGCGACAGTGCGAAAAAACCATATAACTCCACGGTGGACGCTCTTTTTCCTTCTCTTTTCTTTAGCGTGAAACATCAAACAGGTTCAACAATCTACGATGGTTCTTCCAAGAATGTTCTCCACCGCGTCGCGCAGCGCTTTCACCGCTGCTAAGAGAAACTTCATGTTCAACCGGTCCTTGGCCACCGCTGCCGCTGGCAGTGGTAAGGTTAGGTATGTATAATGGACGATCCAGTGGATCGGTAGAGGAGTGTGGAGACAACACAGTGAAGTGAGACGGGGTGAATTGACACGACAAGGGGGTGGCGTGTGTGTTGGTTTGGTGATTGGTGGTTTGTGGAGGGGGTTTTCTTTGATGGCGTGGGATCATGGAAAGTCAAGCTCAATGGACGGAGACGAGCTCCGAGGAGCAAGAGAGCTTTGCCATTGATACCCACAAGAACTGGGCTTTGGCCAATGTTGGTTTGGCAGCGATTGCTTGACTCTTCGTCGGCTTCTGTCCAGATCGACCATCAACAACTTCCCGCTGAAAATGATTGTTAGCTCGTCTAGAACAGCTTCAAAGCGCCCCAGGGACTATTCCAAGGGTCCACTGAGGCCAATTGATGCAATTGGAGGCATTTTCATTGTCGGTGCGTCGACTTCGTCGACCGGGATCCGATTTTTCCAAAGCGTCCGCTAGACCCGGCTTTTCCCGATCATGCCCGGAACATCAATCCTCAACGCCAACATCACCACCAATACTCCCAATGCATTCCCCTGAGCCGCTGAAGCTTCTCCAGGGTTCGGCCCACTCGTTGTCGTGGCCACCGACCAATCAGGTGCGAGCTTCGCGCTTTTTTCACCAGTCTCGGCACTCCCGCCAACAAGTAGCATTTCAATTACTAACAACACAGAGCCGTCATTGGTGCCGTCGTTGACGTCCACTTTGATGATGGTAACTTGCCAGCCATTTTCAACGCTTTGAAGTTGAAGAACGGCGACCAGGACTTGGTCTTGGAGGTTGCCCAGCATTTGGGTGAGAACACCGTCAGAACCATTGCTATGGACGGTACTGACGGTTTGGTCAGAGGCGAGGCTGTCACCGACACTGGTGCTCCTATCTCCGTGCCTGTTGGCCGTGAGACCTTGGGCCGTATCATCAACGTTATTGGTGAGCCAATTGACGAGAGAGGACCAATCAAGTCCAAGAAGAGAAACCCTATCCACACTGACCCACCAACCTTCGTTGAGCAGTCTACTTCTGCTGAGGTTTTGGAGACTGGTATCAAGGTTGTCGACTTGTTGGCCCCTTACGCCAGAGGTGGTAAGATTGGTTTGTTCGGTGGTGCCGGTGTCGGTAAGACCGTGTTTATCCAGGAGTTGATTAACAACATTGCCAAGGCCCACGGTGGTTTCTCCGTTTTCACCGGTGTCGGTGAGAGAACCAGAGAGGGTAACGATTTGTACCGTGAAATGCAGGAGACCGGTGTCATCAACTTCGAGGGTGACTCCAAGGTCGCCTTGGTTTTCGGTCAGATGAACGAGCCACCAGGAGCCAGAGCTAGAGTTGCTTTGACCGGTTTGACCATTGCCGAATACTTCAGAGACGAAGAAGGTCAGGATGTGTTGTTGTTCGTTGACAACATTTTCAGATTCACTCAGGCTGGTTCCGAGGTGTCCGCCTTGTTGGGTCGTATTCCATCTGCTGTCGGTTACCAGCCAACCTTGGCCACCGATATGGGTACTTTGCAAGAGAGAATTACCACCACCAAGAAGGGTTCCGTCACCTCTGTCCAGGCTGTCTACGTCCCAGCCGATGACTTGACTGACCCTGCCCCAGCTACCACTTTCGCTCACTTGGATGCCACCACTGTGTTGTCTAGAGGTATTTCCGAGTTGGGTATCTACCCTGCTGTCGACCCATTGGACTCCAAGTCTAGATTGTTGGATGCCTCTGTTGTCGGTAAGGAGCACTACGATGTTGCTACCGGTGTCCAGCAGACCTTGCAGGCTTACAAGTCCTTGCAGGATATCATTGCCATTTTGGGTATGGATGAGTTGTCCGAGGCCGACAAGTTGACCGTCGAGAGAGCCAGAAAGATCCAGAGATTCTTGTCCCAGCCATTCGCTGTCGCCGAGGTTTTCACTGGTATCTCCGGTAAGTTGGTGAGATTGGAGGAGACCGTCAGATCCTTCAAGGAGGTCTTGGACGGTAAGTACGACCACTTGCCCGAGAACGCTTTCTACATGGTTGGTGGCATCGAGGACGCTGTTGCCAAGGCCGAGAAGTTGGCTGCCGAGTCCAAATAAGCGTTGCGATTGCATTAAGTATGACGCCACGTACCATAAACGAAAATAACTTAACGTTCACTAGATGTTCGCAAAAGATATTCATTAGCACTATCTACCTTGTAAGCTGTTAGGCAAGCACCTTCTTGGGTTTCTTCTTTCTCTTCTTTTCCACCTTGTACTTTCTCCACAGTTCCACCCTGGTGTCTCTGTCGTTTTCCCAGCGGCTTTCCCACTTCTTTCGTAGTTCTCGATCATTGGCAGCATTCTTGACTTCTTCATTCTTCTGGGCTTCTTCTCTTTGTTGGTACAATCGTTCCACCTCCTTGTCCTTCTTTTGATGCTGCAAAGTCTGAGCGACCTTTTCCCGTATTAGACCGTTTTCCTTACTGTCAAAGTCTTCAATGACGTCTATATCTAGACTGTTGGCGATGGTCTCATATACCCCAACCAAACCCTCCCTTTCCTTGCTCTCCTGGTCGTTCAATACCGATTCTGCCTTCTTAAGCAAATCAAAAGCCTTGGGAGCCTCTGGATGTTTCACCTTGTCTGGATGAATCAACAATGACTTCCTTCGGAATGCCTTCTTCACCCTGGTGTCTATGCTGCTGGGTTCATGTAACGGGTTGATTTGCAAAACGGCAAAGTAGTCTCCTTCAGCACAATTGAGTACCCTAACCACCTCGGCTTCTCTTGCCAAGTCCAGCTCCTGCGCTTTGAGCACTTCTTCAAGACTCATGGTTGTTGATAATGGTGGGTGCGAAAAGCTACTACTTATGAGAAGACTCAGTATGGTGCACTGGAAACCACGGTATTTTGACATTGGCGTGAACTTTTCCGATGCCATGTTCCAGGGTTGCTACAACGGATCCACCAATCCCAAGCACCCGGCTGACGTGGAGCAGGTTATCGAGAGAGCCTTTGATTTCAATGTGAGGAAGATGCTCATCACTGCTTCCTCGGTAGCTGAAAGCACAGAGCACTTGGATTTGGTGGAAAAGCATAAGGGGAGTTTTGGCCTGACTGTGGGTGTTCACCCTTGCACGGTTGCTCAGGAATTCTACGGATCGTTGGAAAATGCTGAACCATTGGAGTCCACAGAGAACAAGATGGAAGAGTTGAAGAAGATCGCCGAGGACGGCCATGCCCGGGGTCTCGTTAAGGCATTTGGCGAAATTGGCTTGGACTACGACCGTCTTCACTATTCGACTGTGGAGCAGCAGAAATCAATGTTCAAGAGACAGTTGGAGGTTGCTGTGTCTTTGAAGCAGAAACTTCCGTTATTTCTTCATATGCGGGCGGCCTGTGACGATTTTGTGGATATAATTCGCCCGTTTGTCGAGAAAAACGGCGTGACCGGAGTGGTTCACTCCTTTACTGGATCTACTGAAGAGCTCCAGAAGCTTCTCAGCCTAGGCTTTTTCATTGGCATCAACGGATGTTCCTTGAAAACAGAAGAGAACTTGGAGGTCGCCAAGCAAATCCCAATGGACCGTCTTCTTATAGAAACGGACGCTCCGTGGTGTGAAGTCAGAAAAAGCCATGCTTCTCACAAGTTCTTGAAACCTTACCCTAATATATTCTACCCTGAGATCCCGGTTCCAGACGTTTTGACGCCGCCGCCAGGCAAAAAACAGCAACAACCGAAGCTCGATGATTTCTTGCCTTATCCTTCGATCAAGAAAGAAAACTACTACAAACACACCGAGGCCACACAGAAGAGACTTGAAAATCTAGGTGAGGCTCCATCCACCAAAGTCGGCGAATTCGCTTACCCATTAATGAAATCCAGAAATGAACCGGTTTTCGTGGGCCACGTCGCTTGCATTATGGCCTCTCTCTATGGCCTAAAAACGGACGAGGAGATCAGGGGCTTCATTGACACCGTCTACGAAAACTCATGCACTCTTTTCAACCTATAATACATTTTATTAGACACTATTATACACATCATCTTCTGCGTGAAGAACGACGTAGTGTGCCGACGGTGTCGGCCGATGCAATTTTGCTGATGCTATTCTGTATTGCCAGTCTAAGCCGGCGTGTTTGCTCAGGTGTGATTGGGATTTTGGTGCCGGTGCGTGCAAAACGGGCAGATGTTCTTCGTGGAGTGGCTGGTTCTTTCTGTGACGTGGGGCGTAATTTCGGTTTGATTGGCGAGGAATCGGGGGTCGCTTGGTAGTCGTCCGGATCACTGAGGATTTCAATGTCTGACGGGTCATCATAAATATCGCCATTCAGCTGGCTACGCAAGGAGCGCAGAACCCTTCCGTTGGACCTGGGCCTGATGACCACTTCTTCTTCCTCATCTTCATCAACTTCACTATCATCCTCTGGTGCTTCGTCTGCGTCTTCTTCCTCCTCAAAGCCATCATCATTAACAGGTTCCTCGTCCATATCCTCATCCTCCAAGGCTGCCTCAGAGGCGGTGTCAAAACCAGGATCTTTTGCACTTTCTTCTCCACTCAGCTCTTCGTCTTCCGAAATGTCAAGCTCCTCCACTGCCTCCTTGACGGCCTTTTCATTACCGGCGTTGGCTTGCCTGATAGGAATTCCGTTTTCAAACTCTGGATGACACACCACAAACTCGTCCACATTGATATTAAACTTTGAGGGTTCTTCCTCTGGGAGTTCTTTGGAGTAATGCTCGATTTCTCTTTGAGCTTCCTCTTCGTAGGAGAAAGGATTATTGATGTCATCTTTCATAAAGTCTGATATCATGGAGATACTGTTATTGAGCGGCACAATGGGCTGGCCTGTGGTACTGAGCAGTTGTTCGATTGGAGGTGCTTGTGCTAAAGTAGCCGGTGCCGAGTTGATACCTCCTGAGGGTCCAAAGATCATTGGCTTCCACAAAATTAAGTCCGCCTTTAATGTGACATAATTCTTCAGTGCAAACTTGTTCACCACTTCCTCGATCTTTGGCAAGTTAAGTGCTATGGCGTAGTCTCCAGTGCAGGGATTCTTGATGAGGCCCTCAAGTTGTTCGAGACCCACAACCACGTCCGACGGAATCATTCCTGTGAGTTTCGATAAAATCTCAAGTGAAAGCACAATCTTCCTTCCCTCCTTCAAATAATCGTCATATATCAGCTTGAGGGTGTGGGCCACAGTGATCTTCCAATAGTTGCGGTAACTGAGAAGGCCAAGGTCACTGAGAGGCTTCTCAGGGGTACCAAACTTGAATTCGTTTCTGGACAAGAGGTAACTGAAGTCTATGAGGAAGTTTCCGTAGCCTTTTCTCTGGTAGATAGGTAAGGTGAGGATACAACTGACATTGTAGTCTGAATTATTAAGCTTCTCTTTGGAAAAGTACCCCACGAAATGATACATGGATGGGTCTTTTTCGTCAAGCTCGGTCAACACGTAGAAGGTGAACGGCTCGACATCATAGTACAATGTTTTTGAGTTGAGGAACAATTTGGCGAGAAGACACAAGTTCTGGCAGTATTCGATATTCTTTCTTCCGTCAACCTCCCACACAGCGACTCGGCTCTCTGTATCTCTGTAGATTTCCACACCAGGTGGATGCGAGTTAGACAGGTTACAGTTCTTGAGCTGGTGCCTCTCGAACGAAACCGGAGATCTCATATACTTGAGACAATGCTCGCAGATGTATAGGATCTTCAGACGGGAATACTCTTCAGGGTACGGTGACGAGTACCAAGTGTCGATAACGTAATCACGGAATTGGATCTTCTGTATCTGAGACTTGAGGAGCCCCACGCTGCGGTCCTCAGTAGCAGAGTCCTGAAAGATCTCTGCTTCAGCCTGTTTTCTGCGTTGATTACCTTCAGCCAAAAAACGATCAAACAAGGCTCGATCTTCCGCCGTGGGGTCGGTTTCGTTGATGGTACAATCGGGAAACGGAAGAACACCCTTATAGGGCAACTCGTGGGTCCGGGGCACTGGAGAAGCGACTTTCTTGCGTATTTTGATTTCAGTCTCGTCAAGTTCTGGGATTTCGGGCGTGACGCTGACTTTCGGTGTTCTCAGGCGTTTCTCCACGTTTCTTGCCGGTTTTAGACTGGATCCATTGACCTGACGGGTCTTTTGATTCAACGAGCGAGTGGTTCTCGATGCAGACAATTCCTCCACCACAGGCGTCCTGGAGCCAGCCCCAAGAAGCTTCTGTGCCTTGCGGTTCCGCACATTGTATTTGATTTTGACAACAAACGAGGATTCTGTCAGCTCTATCACCGTGGCCAGGTACAACCTAGGGCGGCCTTGTTTTCTGGGTTTGGGAAACTCGAGACCACTGAAAAAGGACTCTTGTCGTAGCAGCGGCAATATTCTCTGTTCTCGTCTTCTCGGTAGCGGTCTCAGAGAAGGACGTCGTCTCTCCGTCGGTAAATGCTCATAGATCTTGTTGTTTGTGATCTTGAGCTGATCAAGCAATTTCTGCTGGTGCGAGGACATCGGGACGGGCGGCGGCCATAAAGATGTGGGAGCCCAGAAGATCTAGTAAAAGGTGGATTTGAAAAATAAGGGTGGATGGGTTGTCGTGGGAGTGTTATTCAGAGATGGCTCGTGAGATCTTGTCTAGCGCTGTGTACTGCAGAAAATCCCCCAGTGGTTTCTACGCGTTTAGTGAGGCCCTGGTGGAGGAGAGTCAACAGAAAACAGGGGTTTGCTTTTTGGAAGAAAATTTATTTTTGATTATTGAGAATAAGTATCTTGTAAATTTTGATTGGACTAGCAATTTTTCTCAAATCGCTGGCTCTGTTGCTGTCTTGGTGGGCTGTTGCAGATTGATATGGCGCTGATTTGGCTGCGAAAATATACATGGTAGACCGTTGAAAAGATGAAGGTGGTCTTGCAGGAAGCTCAGGTGCACTTTGGTGTTTTTCGTGTTTGTTGGAATTTTTGATCCTTGGGGGGTATCTTCGTTTTTGGCTCTACGGGCACCTTCCAAATCGGGAATGTCTAAGGAGAGTCCATTTGACGATTCTCTTAAGATTAATGCTTTTTACCGTCTTTTCAGTGTATGTTTAGAGTCCCTCTTATGTATAGCGTTCGAGGTTCACTGCAGGGAGGCCCGTCACCGAGGTACCTACTTTGCAGACATCTCTTTTGGTCTAGCTAAGACGGACTTTTTCTACTATGTGAATTTTCTTTTAAAGCTCTTGAAACTTTACTTTTCTGTTGCTTTGGTAGTGATGTGCTTCGTTATTGAAAGAGTATTTTTCTTGCCAAAGAAGACATGAACATACCTGGAGGTTCAACTGAATCAAGTTTGACTGCTATGATACGCTTTATAGGTTTTTTAAAACTTCATCTCCTCGACTTCTTCACTACTTTTGACCATGCAAGGGTCTGCGATATGCGTAAGCGAGATGGTGCATTGCGCTGTTACCCACGGAATTTGTATACTTTTTTCCGTATTTATATTCCCGAAAGTCTTGGAAATATGGAGATTCTACATCACTTCATAATCAAAGCGAAAACATCCAATGAAACGAATTAGTTTGCCCCACATTCACACTGACAACCTTCTGTAGCCTACTCATTATAATTAGACGTTATCATTAAATATACAAAGCAATCACCCTATTTGACAGGTTCTAGTAATCATGGGCCACCAGTAATTTGAGAAATAGAATGGAAGAAAAGTGGCCTTGCAATTTCGGCGACGTAGTGATACATGGACGTACCGGGTACAGAAAATAAAACGATTATGAAGCTGGCACCAAGGGAAAAATAACTGGTCGTGTCATGTCATCGTGTAGCGACTTGCCGTCTCATCTACTCGTTGGTCTTGCTCAGGGTCTCGGACTCGCTCTCGTCGACCTCCTCGATATGCTTTTCGTGCACGTTGTCGTCCTCATCAGATCCGTTTTCATCCAGTTGCTCGCCGGTGGGCATACCGAACGAGGCCAACAAGGACTGTGCGGAGGAGGTATCCAAGTAGATCACACCATTCTCGTTGGTGATCACGTTGCTGGACAACAACTTCTGCAAGGAAATAGCACCGTTGTTGAGGCCGTCGCTGGCGGAAGTGGCAGGGCCCGCAGGGCCCGAGTTGGCATTCTCTTCGTCGTCGTTGCTGTCAAGGTCATCATCGTCAGCAGACTTGCCGTTGCGCATACCCATGTTCCCGAACATGGAGTGGCCGAACATGGAGTCACGGCCGGCGCCACCGCGTGTGTCGTTGTTGGCCTGCTGGCCAATCTCGTAGAACTCACCAAAGATCTCCTTGTACAAGTCGTTGTAAGGTGGAGAGATTGGGCCGTACTCGTAGTTGGCGGCCTCGGCAGAGTCAGGGTTGGCCTTGACGGTTTCCTGCTGCTTCTCGATCTTGGCGATCACACGGTCGTACCACTGGTCCAAGGTCTCGCTGTTGGTGTGGTCCAAGAGGGCGACAATGAGAATCGACATGTTGTCACAGCCGATACCCAGGCCGTCGGAGGTTGGGGCACAACAGAGCTCCATGATCTCCTCGCAAATTTGCGTGAGTGGCTTTCTCTCGTACAAACCTCTTCTGACACACTCGACACAGTTCTGAGAGCTTAGGCAGTCCCAGATACCGTCGCAGGCCAAAATGACAAACTCGTCCTTGGCGTGGTCGATCTCGTGGTGGATAACATCCGGGTAGCAGGTGACAATCTGCTCCTCGGCAGGCAACTCGTCGTTCTTCTTGAACATAAAGTCACCAATGCCCCTGGACAAAGCCAAGTTACCATTGACACGGCCAACGTCAACGAAACCGCCAGCAGCGCAAATACGCGCCTTCTCGCCCTCGTTGAAAGGCTTGTGGTCGTAACTGAGCGCCTTGGCGTACCCGTTCAGCGACATGACCGTTCTGGAGTCACCGGCGTTGGCACAGTAGATATGGTGAGGGGTGACGATGGCGGAAGTGGCGGCACAGCCGGACTCGTCGTTGCGTGTTTCGTAATCTTGCAAAATGGCCTGGTCACACAGCAAAAAGCCGTCTTTCAAGGCGTTCACGTAGTCCTTCTCCTTGAAGGCGTCGGTCAGTGCCACCAACTCGTGCAAACGGAGACCCGTGAAAATGGCAGCCTTCTCTCCTCCGTGTCCATCGTAAACACCGAAAAAAGCTGTGTGTTCATCGCTGCTGTCCCCTTCTTGACGCTTCAAATCCATAATCGTGGCATGGGCGTCTTCCATGTTGATTCTCCATCCTTGCATGCAGCTCAAGCCGTAAGCCACGTACTTGTCGCTGTCTTTCTCGGAGTGTTTCTCTGTTTCTGGCTGGGAAAGTATCTGGCCCATGGTGTGGAGGTGTTGGTGGTGGTGGGGGGTGGACGGTGGATTTTTATCTTTTCGAGGTGCCTCACAATCGATGCTTTTGCTTTTCTTTTTTTTCTCACTTTTCTCGCACTACACACCGAGCCCCCGGCGGCCATACAAAAAGTTCCATTATCAGATGAAAAAGAGGGAGAGTAGTAAGGAATTGGTTTTTTGGTATAAATTTATGATTGGGGTTACTGGGTCTTCAAAACGTCGTCTTATCACGTGACTCGGGACCACCCCGGTGTCTGGTTTGCAGCCACCTTTCTTTTGTAGCCCCGCTTGGTCCAATATTAGACAGATAAATGAAAGAAGAAACGAGTAAGTTTGTATCTACAGTAGTTCTACACCTTCGGTCAATAAATAGAACAGCCGTCTGGGGACAGCCGCCCTGTGGTTCATTAAGTGCATTAAACATAAAACATCGCTCGTTTCGGCGTGGGCCCACGCCTCGTCATGTCGTCTTTTTGTTTGTGTCTCATGGCGTTCTATAAGTTTCGTGAAGTACTTTACTTCTTGGGCCCCCAGATCCCGCTGCCGCTGCTTTTGCTCTGCTCGTAGCCGTTGCCCAATGTCAACCCGTTCAACTTCGAGGCCATGTTGTCACCTCCAAGCGAAAACTCCTCGCTGTTGGCAGATGTAGGTTGCAAAGAGCTGAAGCTTCCGTTGAGATGCGCATGCTGGCCAAACGGAGCAAAACGGTTGTTCAAATCAGCATTGCCCAATGGCGTACCTGGCTGACTGATCTGGGCTCCTTGGCCAAAGAAGTTCTGGCCCTGCTGACCCTGGTAAACGTGAGAACCGTGGGTCGAAGGGTGCTGCGGAGTGGGCGAGTCGGACTGGGATGGCATGGCTCCAGTAAGCGGAGGGGTGTTTCTGACATCGACAAAAGACCGGTTGTTGGAGGATCTCAACAACGCAGCGGCGCTGCTGGAGTTGGGAGTACTGAGCTGCGACACCTGGTTCTGGTTTCCAGATGGTGCGCCGCCGTAGCCCACAAATGACTGGTATTTGGCATTGCCCTGCGAAGAACCGGCATTCTTGTGACCAGGAATACCTCCAGACAGGTACTGAGAGTACTGCTGCTGAACAGGAGTGGAGCTCAGTTGTCTAAGTCTAGTCAAGGGCAAAGCCAGCTGGGATTGGGACCTCAACAACTCGGGTGCATGTGGGTTGGGGGTTTGCAAGTTGCTGGGGTACCCGTTAAGCAAAGCAGGCAACTGGTTGATGTTCATCATCGAGTTGGAGTGGGGGTGGCCGGCACCATTGGTCTGGCCCTGCTGCCCGGATTGCTGTTGTTGCTGCTGTTGTTGGGGCTGCTGCTGCTGTTGCAGCTGAGGTTGTGCGTGCTGAGGGGTGGTGGCTGCTGGTGCCTGACCCTGCTGTTGATGGTGGAGATGAGGGTTGAATGTAGCGCTTTGTTGTTGGCGCTGTTGAATAGTCTGCTGGCCCGGCTTTCTGCGGATGATGATCAAGCCGTTGTCGTAAAGCTCCAACAAATTAAGGTAGGAGCACAAGAGGGAAAACACCTTGCGGTGCTGTAATGAGATATTAGCTGGGAAAGCCAACTCGAAGATGAGCTTGGAGTTGTCGTCCCTGTAGGTGAGCAACTGGGAGTACAACTCAAGAACGTCTGGATCGTTAAAGTTGAGTTCCACCGGTGGTGGAGGCATGTTGGTGTTGCCCAGAGGGAAATGCATCAACAAACGCTCAGTTTGAGAGTTGTACTGGGCACCGTTCACACTGAGGTTCTTGGTGGCTGCAGTGGTAGAAGCAGCACTGATGAGAGAGGCCAAGGAGGCGTTGGAAGTGGAGCGATGTTGCTCCTCCAACTGGCCGCGTTTTTCTCTCTTTTCCCGCTCGATTCTTTCTCTCTCCTGAGCGGGCAACATCTTTTTGTATTCGACTCTCAACTTTCTGCCTCCAATCTCACGGCCGTTCAACTGGTTCACCACCATCGACGTCTCGTCAGTGGATGTGAAGTTGGCAAAGGCCAAACCACGGAAAACGCCGTTGTCAAAGTGGTAGTTGAAAGCGTAAGGCAAGGGCAAGTTGAGCTTGGTCATCACGTCCAACAACTGCTCTTTCTTGATCGCAAAAGGAATGTTCTTGATCACGATGGCGGTGGGGATCAACTCGTCGTCGTCGTCCTCCATAGTGGAGGCGTT